AAAAATAAAGACAATGACAGCTAAAGGCATAAAAAAAAAATATCCTCATCGTTATCGTGAGGTGGGGTCATTATCACATCAGTGGGTGGGGTGAAGAGAATCCTTCAAATATTATTATTTTAAGTGTTACAACTTAACCAATCTGCGTTCATTTATTTTTCTTTAAATAGATATTAAAAAGAGTTTGGTATCATTTGTGGTTACTGGTAGGTGGTACTAAAATATGGTTCCAAATATATGAAAAACGGTGTAGGAGTATTTCATAGCTATAGACATGCGTTTCAAGCAATGAAATAGGAGAAATGAGTTCCTCTCACGTTGAATTTATTGACAAAATCTATACGCCGCGCACAGGCGTATTTTCCCAATTTTATACATAAAGATATATTGTATGTCTCTGTGTGTGTATAGTTTAGAGGTGAGAATATTACATATAAGGCTTCTCTTTGTATTACTCCGGCTTCCTACCGAGGAAAGCCTGTTGTACAAGCTAAATGGCTAAGTATATATTTGCACATCTATCATGGCTGTTTTATGGCTTCGTAAATATTTTGATAAGGGCACGTGCCACGTGGGTCTATGAAGTAGTCAAGTATCTCATGAATGTTCATGTGGTTTTTCACCATGAAAATATCTCGTGATATGATATACTATATGAACCTTCTTTACATAAGAGGGTTTATTAAAAATTCCACGCTACACAGGCGAAGGTATATATAAGATATGTGAACTCCAAATGAAACCTTCAGTTTTTAAAACACATGGAAAGAGTTGGGCTGACAAGTATATCTACTTTTCCGCCACCGCAAGGCTAGAGCCATGCTAAGTGTAGGATAGACCCTATACTTAACATTAATTAAATATAAAATGATGACTTCAGCTTAGACAGTTGATAAAAGATCAGAAAACAAAATAAATATCTTAAACTTATACAAAGACTGTGTAAAACCATAACCGTGTCGTAAGAAGAAAAGATCGCGTTGGAAATGTGAAAAATAATCCGCCATCTTGAATATTGTTATAAATGCGAGTGCGTTTGTTGGTTCATAAATGTCACGAAGGAACTGAGAAGAAATCGTGTGGATATTTTTATGCAAAGAGAAAATATGAGCTGTAATTTTTCTCTGTGGCTTTGTTCTGTAGAATCATTCGGATAACCAAATATTCATTGTTCATCAGCTTACTTAAAAATCAAGTAATGAACAATGATAGTTAGAGACTATCTCTAACTGTTGTATTCATCTACCAATGAAGCAAACCTCATCATAATCGATTGAGCACTTTCACCCTGAACGCGTAGCAAATATAGCAATTAGTTATTTACTGACAGAAATAATAGCAGATATCTGCCAATTATATAAAAAAAAATTAATGAAATTTCGTAAAAAAATATAGGATACGCAAGCAAAAACACATGTTATACTAGTTAAACTATTAACAATCCACCTTAGTTATATAATGAATTTGAAGCCTCAACAAAACCTCAATAGTGACGAGCAAGAAAATCGATAACATAATCAAAGCTTAAGCAAGACCCAAATTAATCTCATCTGCCTTGTAAACCGCAATGAACACAATCAGATACTGACATTAATTGCGAATAAAACATAGTCACTTGATCTCTAATACAAATTAATATGACAGAATTTATTTAGTATGCCTGACTGCCTCGTTGGCCGAGTGGTCGCAAGTGCGACTGCCGGGCAAGGGGTCTCGGGTTCGATTCCCGGGGCAAAGAATTACTGGGTTTTAAAAAAATTCTCAGTAGTAGCACGGAGTCTGGATATGTGCCCGATAGTGAAAAGTGGGTGTTACTTCTGTGTCCACCTCTGCCTAGCCCTTCGGGGATAAAAGGCGTGATATTATGTGTATTTATTTAGTAACAACTACTTTTACTTAAACCTGAATCTAAAAACGGTGAAACAAGAAGTCTCTAACCTGAACCTGAATTACCAGAACAGACTCAGGTAACACTGTAAGAAACTAGCTCGGGCGTTGTATGATGAGAGAATTACGTGGTGCAATCTAACCACGTAAGACTGACACGAAAATGCATTCCTTCTTACCCATTAGATTCTCAACATGAAAGAAAGAGCTACCAGATGGGATTAACTACCCAGTACGAGCGTTGTACGCCAACAAACAGCCGTAGACTAAAACAGAGGCATGGATGTCCCCAGACAGATTGTTATGAGGCAGACTTAAAACAAAAGAAAACCCTCTATCTTTCTTAGATAATAGTTTCTTTTACTCCATCAACATCATCATCGTCAAATTAGGACGTACCTTATGGTAGATATCTAACATTTTTTTTAAGGGGAAAAATCATCGAATGACTTCTCCCGCCTGGGTGAGGCGGGAGAGAGTGTCAGACTCTTACTGACTAAAAACCACCCCGTTCCTTCTATTGCACTTCGAGCTGGAGCCCGGTAACCCGTTAGGTTCTCCGCGACTTCGAATCGGCATCAACCCTATTGGACCTCATCCGTCGTGGTCTGATGGCTCTTTGAGGCGCGCGCGTAACGCGACACGCCGTACAAATATCTACCATAACGTACGTCCTTCTGAACATTGACCTTTTTCGATCCGCATCGGCACCATGAGGAATTACTGTGCCTCATATGTGTTCTCAGATCCTTATAGACATATCTAGATAGACCGACAAGGTCTGACAGAAGGTCACTTAAAATTGACGATATATCATTATATACCGTCGATTTTATACTTATACTTATAAAGATACGGTATATCATTATATGCCGTATCTATAAAGTAGATATAAGTATACAAATTAAGTTAAGATACCTAGAACACAAAGACAGTCATATCACTAAAAGTGGTATCTACCAGATAACCTTTGGTTAGACAGAAGATAGAAAAGTTTACAATACATTATTATTCTAATTAACCATATTAAACTATCTGGTATTGACGGCCATATTGCCAATATATTGAATACCTAAGTCAAATTAAAAGTACCCATTTCGCAGAAAATTCTTTGTGTGAAACACTAAGGAATGGAATTCCTTGTCGAAATCTGTGTTTCACAAAGTAAGTACAAATACAATTTGGATGTCTTTGAGTTCCGAGTGAACAGGTTACTCATAGGGAAGCGTGCTCCATCGTCGGCTGATGGTGCCCAAACGTCAACCAATCATGTATAAAAAAAACCCTTAACCGACGAACATCCATGAAAAGACTGATGACTGTTGAAGAAGTGAAAGAGGTATGTAAGAATGGTAGCAATGGGTATTCCATAGTCTCTGCCTACCCCTATAGGAGACAGGCATTGTATGTATGTTTTGCTAGGTTAGGGTCATGACTGGAATAAGATTGATGTTGTCTTTTTGCAAAGGATTTGATCTCCTTGTCAGATAAAGCCTTACGATTACCACAAATCTTAGTAGACAAAATTGTCTAAAATTTTAGTATTCCAAGATTATATAAATATTCTCAACAAATACTTACACCTACATCGAATCTCCAAAAAGCAGCTAATCTCCAAAGAATACCACAAAGAGCTTTTCAGATTGGATTTAATCCTTATCCCTTTCATCGCAAAATTTCAAAACATAATATCATATTCAAAATCTTGTGTGCGAAATGGGTGTCAAATACGATTGGGAAGAATCCGTTTATTATTTCTTGATGGATTTTAGTGTCTACACCTCGTACACACAACATCTTGTACATATGATTCGTCGTAGGTATGGTGGGTGCTTTTAAAAGTAGGTATATGTCAATTATATATAATAATAATCAACTCTAAAACTGTATCTGCAGTGTGAGAGAGCCATGCTTCGGCACGAATGGGCCGGCTCGACCGGAGTGATACCATGGTCTCACAGAAAACCCACATGAAACAACGCTTGCGTTGTGTTTCGTCGTGTGAGTGAGGTTACCGGTGGCCCAATTACCCCCTCCCCTTACCTAATCTCTCCAATCCCTGATTCTCCAACGAATATCAAACTCCTATTCCCTTAAAAGTCCGATAACACACTTATAACGCTTCTGGTGTTCCAGGTGTCCATGGGCGACGCCAATTGCTTACCATTAGGTGATTCGTCTGCTCGTTTACTGGCTTATCCCATAACTTTGAAAGCTATAAATCAACATCATCTTTTCAGCCACAAATTGTTTTTTTTTAATTCAATAAATAGTGTATCTCTAAATTATATTAAATTTATTTCCTCTCACTTTACTAGTTTAATGGACCTTAAGTGACTCAAATAGGGACCCTCTGCTGACCCTCTATCCTGTATTTGATCCAAATTACTTTATTACCAACACATGGATAATAAACTCAACAATTTAACTTCGAGATTGCGGTATAGCAAAGGATTTGGGTTCGGTTCCTGGTCGGCTGAAATATTGAGTTTATCAGCGATTTGAAATACAATATTTAAATCTGTGAAACATTTTGTTTGACACGATTATCGAACCATGTACCTTGTCTTTGTAATCTGTCGATCAACGAAACACGAAACAATAACTTAATTTACACAAAAACAAAACTAATATAATTTAATGGTTACAAATTTGATTTACGCGATTCGATTCAGGTGCCATTGTTTTCAGTTTTAAATGAAATATTTTAAGAAATTTATGGGTTGAAATCCTGCTGGAAATAATGAGAATGTTACTTTTACACTAACATTAATAATAATATATAGAAAATGCTTGTAATTTAGAGATGTAGAGCTATGCCAATTCCCTAGGGAGTAATCTGGCGTGATGATACGTTAATATTACATTTTTATTCAGTCAATGTAAAATAGATACATTAATCTTTTGGATACCAAACCGGTCTCATACTTTGTTAAGCGAAATAAGTTTAACAACAAAATATTTTTTTATTTCTAATCATAATTATGAAGAAAATATGACTAAAATCCACAAAGAGTCTATACAAAATACTTTATTATTAATGAAACCTATCAATAAATTACTCATTTTTGTTTACTTCATACATAAATAACAAAAAAATTACGTAAAATTACCTGATTACAAACGCTGCATTACGATCACACCCAGAAACTCAAAACTTTGAATTTATGACACAAAACTACTGAAACTTAAACACAATATTACTTAAAAAGTCACCCACAAAATATTCAAACACTTCTTTTTTTTCTAATAATGCCACTGATTCTTATACACTGAATTGTTTTGTTTGGATAAAGCTGCAAGTCGAATTACGCGCGACGCGGCCACCGCGGATTCTAGAGACGCTCGTCTGGCTTGAAATACTCGCTTATTTGTAGTTCGCGCCGCGCATGCGTGTTCACAGTTGTCGCATAGCCAACTTCATGCACACGCCGTACTGTGCCTAATAACATTGGGATTTCAACAAGAAAAAGGACACAGTAATGATTTAGACCCTTAGATGAAATACAACTTGTATGCTATTGTGTATTACGGGAAATTCAGTTTTATTAATCCTGTTATTAGAGTTTTTATCGTTTGCGTTACAATTAAGTCAAGGGTGTTTTGTGGCATGTAACGACATGCTTAGGTTACATTTGAAAAGATACTTGATGCAAAACAAACATTTCCGAATTTGATCGTCTATGATTGATTTATTATAGGGGATGAATTTTCTTCAGGGAATTTCCCCATGATTTTTTTTCGTCAACATTTATTCACAGGATGTTCAATAACAAATTACTTTTACTTACACTTCCGAAGAATTGTGACAGGAAAATGTATTTGGGAATGTTTATCGCACTTCTTCTGCGGAACTTTTCTATTTTGTCACGCCATGTTATTTTCGGTTGTAATAAGAATATTCATATAGTACTATTAATAATGATAGAAGCCCTACTTCTGTTATAGAAACATATTTAGAACGTATAGCAATGGCGGTAGAGTAGAATAAATTTATATCACTCATATATCACACTGGTACCTAGACATCGTAAGAACCAACAAAAGACTATAATTTGAAAGTAATCAGGTAGCAGCGTTTTCTGGAAAACCTGAAACTTTGAAACAGAGATCTCCAACTAGAAGACAGTAAACCCTTCTTAGGTAGAGAAGGTACGTAGTCTCGCAATAGACGATCAAAGACTTTTAGTGATGTTGATATGACACACAGTATACAGAGTTATTAACACAATCACAAAAAAAATAAAGAGAAATAAATAAGTTTGTCTCTAGAATAATGTCTACGGTCTAGTTATCCTTTTAATATCACAAATATATCACAAATGAGTTTGTATGTTTATTTGTTTGTTACTTTTTTTGGGACAAGCCCGCCACAACCTCCCAATACCACTGCAACTTATGTAGGTACCTAAGCCAGGATCTACAGTAGATACAACCATGATAACACCGCAACACTGAAGTCCGGTGCGTCCCAGAGACATGAATAAATGTCTTAATTCCCGCAACGAAGTGAATCAGAAGATATTATAAGAGGAGAAGAAAAAAATTCCTTTCTCGTCAAAACGTCTGAAGGGATCATGAAGAAATTTAAAACATGGGTAGATTAAGGTTTGGAATACACATAGGTTACGCTTTATGTCACGGAACCCCGAGTTAATCCGTTGGCAGAAACTAGTATTAATAATAATATAGAATAGTTCATTACAGTTTATGGCCATTGCCATCAAGACTTTGATAAGGCCGTAAAATTCCTTTGTTTCGTACGAACTATTAACTCTTAATCAAGGTTAGGTAATACTAGGTAGGTTTCTGATAACAATATAATTATAATTAATGTTATGTAGTATGTATTACATGAATATAATAAATCTTGCTTTTTATACGCAGAAGGCGTAGGCGGATGCGCACACGACAATTAATAGTGTGACGGTATATTTTTCATTAGTTACGTAATGAATTCTGTGTCATCACATAAAGTGCAGTATGCTGAAAACGGTTAAAACAACAACTCTCATTTCACATAATATCACGCTTTTTATATTTGGTAGGCAGCGGTGCACATTACGGCACTCAATGCCACTGTACAATGCAACAACCACTTTTCACTACTTATGTTATGAGTCCCATGTAATAGATGGTAAACCTAATGGCATGTACCGGGCACATTTCTATTTTCCAACCCAGTAATTTTTTGCCCAACCCGGGAATCGAACCCGTGACCCCTTGCCCTGGCAGTTGCAACCACTCGGCCAACGAGGTGGTCATTACAATATAATATAAAAGATTTATATGCTACAAAAAATAAATTGATTATAGTTATAAAATGATAGGTTCTGTAGACAATGATAATAATATTAATTAGTACTAAACATATTTATAAAACTTAATTAAAAATGCATCTCACTAGACCAACCAGTCCAATTATCAACTCTTAAGAAAAAGCCGTACTTTATTGTTAAACTATCTTTTACCCGCGGCTTCGCTCGCGTCACAAAAGGATAAAAAGTAGCCTATGTGACATATACCAATACATACAGCGTCATCTATACCAATACTTTTGTTTTCCCTCGGGAATATAAATTTTTTTCGGGATAAAAAGTACCCTATTATGTAATCCAGACTACTAAGTTTACGTCTGCAAAAATTCAATGCAATCGGTTTAGTAGTTACGGCGTGAAGTCGGAACAAACAAACAAACAAACAAACTCACTTTCCCATTTATAATAGTAAAATATAATATAATATATAATATAATATAATATAATAGTAAGGATAACGCTCTAAAGAAAAATATTTTAATTTCGACCTGTAAGAACAGACAAGACCATGTCAAACAAGTTTCGGATATCTATATAATTTCATAACATTTAGGCATATATCCCTACGTATTACAATGTAGAGGTAAGCTTACAATATTAAATCAGAGTTATTGTAGTTCCCTTTGATCTTTCACCTTGACCTTTAGATTCTCACCTAAAACAGCTGCCCAACTAGATAATAAATATTGTGTTTCATTCTCAAAAATCAAAGGGATACATTCATTTTGCTCAATTATTAGAGTAAAATATTTCACATTCTCCAAAATCAAATAGATTCATTTTGATCATTTAAATGTTTTGTTTCTTCGTTTGGGCGAAAGGTTTTTTATATTTTTTATTGGATAAGTTGTGAAACGAGCAGACGGATCCCCGATGGTAAGCAATCGGCGTCGCCTATGGACACCTGGAACACCAGAGGGTTTACAAGTGCGTTACTGGCCTTTTGGGATTAGGAATTTGAGGATTATTGGGGATTCAGAGATTGGGAAAGGATTAGGAAAATGGGGGGAGGGGGTAGTTAGGCCTCTGATAATCTCACTCACTCGACGAAGCATAACGCAAGCGTAGTTTCACGTTAGTTTTCTGTGAGGCAGTGGTATCATTCCGGTCGGGCTGCCCCATTCGGCTCTCCCACACGAAAAGTAAATGTATGAAAACTTTTAATTAATTAGATTTTTTCATGGAGCAATGAGCAGACGTATCGCCTAATAGTAAGCGATTTACGTCGCGTGTCAACACCAGAATTACAAACTAATACCATCAATGTTCTTGGTCTTATTTCCGAAGAAAGAATCTTGCACAAGTATTTTTAACGTGATATTCTAGACATCGTATTTAATGTGATTGATTCAATAATAACGAAGAAAGGAATTGCTATTGTTATTGTTTATCATAGTAATAATATCACGTAGCCATCTCTTGATCCAGTACAGTCTCTAAGAGTCTAAATAAAATCATATTATAGTACTAATATGTAAATCGAAACAACGTGTCTATCATCTGAAGTAGCAGCCAGATGTACCCAAACAGTACCAAAACACGCCTGTACTGCCGCAATCAATTGCATTCCGTCTGATTCGTCAGGGCATTGCCTGTCTAGCCAAACCTGATAGGTCAACCCCCGATCTGGTGAGGCACAAAGGCTCTAAACAGTTTAAAATTTGTTTAAGGAAAATAAATATTGATTCCAGAGTTTATTAAGTGAGCTAAACCCCTAAATAAACGGATTTATATTGAAACGGTTTTATAGCGCACAATATTGGATTTTTTATACGGCAATTTAAATCCTTTTTGGTGTTCGTTGGAGTTAAATTAAGTTCGTAAATAGTGTTACTTTCTTTGCATAATACCACGCCTTTTATATTTTTAATATGCATGTCGGGTCGGAGTAAACCTATTAGATTTTGTAAATATTGTTATATACGTCTATGCTTGTCTTGTAGGGACACTATTCACACTCACTGATATTACACATCCCTAGATATTTTTTTAATATTATAAAAATCCTTAAATACATTACTTAGCTAGGTGTCCGACTAGAGACGATTTACCCCAATCGTATTTCAGATATATCGGAACTAAATTCAACATGTATTCTGGCACCAGCAAAATAACATTTTAGAATACAAATCCAGATAAAATTAAATTAGTTTTACTTTGAAAATAACCAGTATTCCACGAAAAGGAATTAAAATAACATCGTTACTCAGTAATGTTACTCAATTGAACTTAATTAAGTTGTCTAGGACTGGAAGGCAAGATAATCTAGTCTGAGACTTAGCCAAGCATAGTAAAGACTGAGCTATGTAAAGACTTATTAGTTTTATAGTTTTATGTATAATGTTTGTTGGTTTGTATGTAGCTTTTCTTCTAAACGCCTGTATTAATGATTTTTTTTTACATTTGAAAGAAAGAAAGAAAAACAGTTTATTTGCACCATTACAGAAAGGACAAAAAAAAATAGTAATAAAAAAACAACAGTGTACAAGGTGCAAAAAGGCCAGTGCTCAGCTAAAATGCCGTGTCACGAGCGCGATTTCTCGAGTCGCGGCGCTGATTTTCAGCACTAGCCTGTTGCCAAGATCCCATATAAATAAATAGATAAATACTAAATAGAATATAATAAAAGTAAGACGGAATAGAAACATTTGAAGATTGAGCTCAGACATGCATTACCTACTAGAGAATCCTATGTCGAATAATAGTCACGACAATTGTATGGTGCTCACCTCATACAAGGTTCATATATAAATAATAATTATAAATGCATGCGCGCAGTTCGCGGGAGACTCGTGAACTGCGCATTTGCGGAGCTTTCGCCAGATGTGGACGCACCCTTAAAGTGCAAGCATTTCTTCATTTAAAGGTATTTTCCATGCCCTCTAGGTAATAAATTTGAACAGTTACCAATAAATTAGATAATACAAATACAGAATCAAACTTTTCATAACTGAAAATTGCATCTACTCCCTATCACTTCTTCACTCAAACAAATCCTA